AAAAAAAAAAAAAAACTTCAGGTCTGAGCTCTTCAGTATTTTCTTTACCTACTTCCTCCATTCAATCCTTCCTCTCCTCATAACATGTAAATGAAAGCTATGGACATCTCAGTGCCTAGCCTGGTGCCAGACACAGAAGTGCTCAAAAAATATTTCTCAAATGAATCTGTAATAACTTTCAAGTTATTAGATAGGAACATTCAGTCTATAAAACTCCGAAAATTCTTGGCAATAGTTTCCTCAAAGTTAACAAGCTCATAAATTCTTCATTTGTCTACAATTAGGATTCCTAAGACATTTCTCAGATTCATAAAAAACTGGACTAGAAAATTCTAAAAATCAACACAAAGCATAAAAAGCAGCTCTAAGGTTTACAAAATTTGCAGTGTTTTGTATTCTTTTAGTTCATTCACTTAATTCATTCACACTGTCTTCTCCAAACACAAGAAGCAAAACCAGTTTGTGTTGTACCCACTTCAGAAGAAGTTGGATACAGCCTCAGAATTGAGGTCTCAGAGTCATTAAAATTTTATCTTGTTTAGAAACCGGTTGCTTACCTTGGAGAAAGGGCAAACAGTCATTTCTCCCAATATGGGGACTGTGGAAACAAGGAAACCCCTACACATCATTTCTGCAACCCCATATTGTGCTAGGGAACTTCTAATTTTGTTAACTCATTAAGCATTTTAAGAGTATTTTTGCTAGCACTGTACTTAGTGCTGTGGAGAGGTACACAAATGGAGCAAGTGCACGGTCCTTGCCCCTACAGGTTACAATGCAAAGAGAGAGAACCAGGCACGGAACTCAAAACAAAAGCTGTGACTGCATAATAATGTACTAGTAGGGTGGGGGCTGGGGATCTCGAAGCCCAGTTGTTACTGGGAAAGCCATTTCCAGGAGGTGAGATCTTAGGCCAGCTCTGAAAGAGGCTGATTGTAATGATTTGCAAGAGTGAAAGTTGCAGGGCTTTCTCCTTAGGAGATCAACATCTGCCCTGATTTAAAGGTGGAAAGTGCCTGAAGCGTGGGAGACCTTAAGGAGACTGACTTCTTAGGCATTCCAAAGGCCAATCCGGGGAAAGCCTGATTTTGAGGATGTAATAGGTAAGTTTGGGGAAGTCAGTTGATAAAGGTGGGAAGGCAAGGAGACGTTTTTTGTTATAGTAAAAAGCTTAGATTTGATGAGACAGTTAAAAAACAAATAGGAAAATTACATGATAAGAATGATTACGACAGCTATGTAAAAATGAGATTGCAATAGAGAGGTCCTGGAGCTCAGGAAATAAGCTAGACATGCCATAATTTAAGCTTAGGTTGTTAAGATCTGGAATAAAACGGTACCTGAAGAAATTTTCAAAGTTGAATAGTAATAACAATAAAAAAAAGGCTATGCTACAAAATATCTCATTACTACTCTTTAATTATTAATACAATTAACAATAATCTCCAGGTAATTTCTTTTTTTTTTTTTATTAAAGATTTTTATTTATTTATTTTATTTTTTTTTCCCCCCAAAGCCCCAGTAGATAGTTGTATGTCA